TTGTGTTCTTAGACTTTTATTTAATAAATCCTTTCTTGTGCTTATGTTACAAATTTATTGTACATTTCCTTCTATCAATTTTAGTTTTATCATTCACATCTAAGTCATTAAGTCTTCTGTAGTAGGTCTCTGAGTATGTCGTAAAGTGTAGGGATCTGTCATTATGAAATAAAAGAGGTGTTTCTCATTACCATCTTCTGTACAATCTGTTTTTCTCCATTGATTTGTGGAGTCATCTTTATTGTATATTGTTTCCATATATACACAGGTCTGTCTTTGAATTATCAATTGGGGTTCTTTGGTTTGTTTATTTCTTGTACAAATACCATGCTGTTTTTCTTACTACAGCTGTATAGTGTGGCTTGATATGCAGTAGGGAAAGTGCCCCTCTTCACTCTTTATTGTCAAGGTTGACCTGGCTATTTGTTTATTATTTCATAAAAGTGAGTCAATTTATGCGGTTCCTCAGAAAAGTCCAGTGAGGATTTTGGTTGTGATTCGTTGACTTTCTGTATTAATCTAGGTAGAATTATTATCTTCATAGTATTGTCATTCTGTTCAGATCATCCACTGTGTCCTTTTAAAATGTTTTCTTCATAGAGGTCCTATGACTTCTTAATTTCCAAACATTCTAGTTATTCTGGCAGTCTTGCAAAATGCTATTTTGTTTTTGATAATCTACTATTGTTGGTTAGTGCTGCTAAGGAGAAATGCTATTTATTTATTTCTCAAAGTTGATCTTGTATCTGTCCTAGTTGAATTTTTAAATTAATTTGAATACTTTGTTGATTTTTTAATAACTGTTTTAATCTCACTTCTCCAATATATACATACTTTTTCCATTTTATTAATTTATCAACTCCCAGTTTGAGTCCCTTTGCTCCCACCTCTTGCCCCCACCTTCTTGTAATCTGTTTGATCAATACTGAATTTCTTATTTTCCTTCAAAACTACCAGACCTTTTTGTGGCTGCCTTTGCATGGTTTCTTCACTTTAATGCCCTTCACCGCCGCCTTGTTCTTCCTCTGCTGAAATATCATCATCTTTGTGAAGCATTTCCGTTCTGCCCTAGGCAGAGTTGGTTGCTGTTATCTTTGTGTTCCTAATACAGATAGTTCATATTCTTTCATGGGATTTGTCGGATTTCATAGTAATTTCTTTTTCTATGTCTGATTATTCCATCGACTCTTCACTAGGACTCCTCTCTTCTCTCCTTTTTGCTCCTTCCCTCTCAATCTTTTGTCACTGCTGTGTCCTCTCAATTGTCCTCTCAATTGTCTACGTTCTCAGGCAGGATCCATCGACAGAAAACCAGTGGCAGCTCTTTGCATACATGGTTCTTAGCACTCACAATCTCAGAAGGAGAGAGTGTCTCTTTTCTGATAGTTCCAGAAGTGCTGGGAAGGATTTTGAGAAGGACCATTTTTATTGGCCAAACGTGGATCACCTCTTAACACCAGGAAGCAGAGTCATGCCCATTGCGATCCACATGTATGGAGACGAGGGAGGTTCTCAGGGGGACAAAAGGGCTGCTTTTGCCAGAAGAAGGGGAGGTGGATGTTGGTCAGACAAAATCAACAGAGGACAGCTGTAAGCCAGTCAACAACATTCTGGATCCTTCTTTCATGAAATTCTGTTTACATTTTTTTGCAATGAGTATTCCATTTGTGCTTATGAACACATATTACGTGACCTCAGCATTCTTCTTCCTCTTTGCTATTCTAAGTTGTGTATGCCTTGTATGCTATGCTGATGGATCTGTTAAGGAAGGTATTCAATAAGTTTCCAGTCAAAAGGAAAACAGTAAAGATTCCTCCATCTCTCCATTTATTTATCCATTAAGTACCTCTTACATACTAGGGTTGAGAATATAAACAACAGCAAAAATCAAAGAGTCTCTAGCTAGAGTCTCATATATTCTAGCAAGAAAGAAAGATTTGTAAGTAATTGCCACTCATACTTTACGTTTTAAATGCCACTTTTTAAGGGAAGCTTTCTTTTGATCCCATGGTTAATATCAGAGTGTCCTGTAATCCTCTTTTGTTATTACTTGTTCTTTTCCTTTATAGTCCTTTTTGGAGTGATTATTATTTGATTTTTCATTTTTCCACTAAATTGTAAGCTTCAATAAGGCCTTATCTATTTGTTGATGGATATGTCCCCAATATGTAGCATAATGCCTGTCTAGACATAGTAAGAATAAATTTTTAATAAATATTTGTTGAACAACATATGAGCAAATATACTGTGTGATAAGCAATTTGACATAATTTGTTTCTCTGGGCTTATGGAAGACACACATGGTTCTGTTTAGGAATTTGGGGAAATGGGTTTTTAGCTTGGCATGACTCTTATTGTCATGTTGCTTCAGTATTCTTATGTGCTGGAAGCTTTCCTTACCTCCCAGCGTCAAACCCTCTACTCTTCATTCTTGTACATTTCTACAATTCCATGGTAAGAAAGGATGATCCAAGGTTAACACTTTTTTTGTTCTCTCACTTCTGATTGTGTTTGGCCCAATTAATTTTGAAGGAGAACAACACTTTTTTCTAAATACATATTCCTTCCCTAAAGTTATTAGACCTAGTATTTATTAATAGTCATAAATTTTAGTTTAAACAAAACTAAAACAATTCAATTTAGTAAAACAATTTGTTTCTAGATCTGGGGCATAGAGTAAGATGTTAAATTGTAAACCACTGCAGCTGATTTTTTATCATTGATGCAATGACAAAATACATTTGCGGCCTGGCACGATGGCTTATGCCTGTAATCCCAGCGCTTTGGCATCCCCAGGCAGTCAGATTGCTTGAGCACAGGAGTTCCAGATCAGCCTGGGCAACATGCTAAAACCCCTTCTCTACAAAAAAGACAAAAATTAGCCAGGCATGGTGGTATCTACCTGTAGTCCCAGCTACTCGAGAGGCTAAGGCAGGAGGATCACTTGAGCCCGGGAGGTGGAGGTTGCAGTGAGCCAAGATCACACCACTAGGTGTCAGCCTAGGTGACAGACGAGATCCTGTCTCCAAAAAGAAAAAAAAAAAAAAAAAAAAAAGACAGAATATGGTTGCAAATGTATTGGACATAGTCATCCATCTGCCTATCTAAATAGGCTGTAACTCACAGCCAAGTATTTGTTACGTCAGAACTTGGCTTTAAACCCTGACCCAAGTGAAAAGCCTAGCCAGGTGACTATTGAGTATGGATTCCAGACAGGTGTGGGCTATGTTATGAATGAATGATTATTGTGATACGAAATTTTTGGGGGTTCTGAGCACCCAAATCAAATCCTCATTAGTAAATGATAACATGACACAAAACATCAAGTTTGTCTTTCATTCAATTCATGAAAGAAGAACAAATACAAAAATTGCTTTATTTTTTAAATTTTTTATTTTTATTTTTTGAGACAAGAGTCTCACTCTGTTGCTCAGGCTGGAATGCAGTGGTGTAATCTCAGCTCACTGCAACGTACGCCTTCCAGGTTCAAGCATTTCTAGTGCCTCTGCCTCCTGAGTAGCTGGGATTACAGGCATGTGCCACCGTGCCCAAGAATTGCTTTTTACATGATTAATTTTTGCAACAGTGATTATGGAAATTTCAGGAAAGAGATTGTTCTACAATACTTTAAAAGTCAGATTTCTGAGTAGAGCTAAGCTTTATTCAATATGTAATAAGGCTAACTGCGCTGGCCTCTTGTGTGTTTTTTTTTTTATATGTCATTTTTAAACATATTTCTTTTTCTTTCTTTATTTTTTGTTTTTGAGACGGAGTTTCGCTCTTATCGCCAAGGCTAGAGTGCAATGGCACGATCTCGGCTCATTGCAACCTCTGCCTCCCAGGTTCAAGGCATTCTCCTTCCTCAGCCTCCCAAGTAGCTGGGATTACAGTTTCCCACCACCATGCCTGTGGCTAATTTTTTGTATTTTTAGTAGAGATGGGATTTCACCATGTTGGCCAGGCTAGTCTCAAACTCCTGAACTCAGGTGATCCGCTCACTTTGGCCTCCCAAAGTGCTGGAATTATAGGTGTGAGTCACCGAGCCTGGCCTTTTAAACATATTTCCTATCAGTAATAACTCCTTGAGATATCTGGTAGAATTTAAATTTTTCCAGTTCTAGAATCAAGTCATCATTAATTTGTTTAATGAGCTTTCGTTTAAGTAGGTGTTAAGTATTTTTCTTTGTTTTTCATAATTATTTCATTTTTATAAAAAAATTTTAGTATTCTTTTGGTGCTATTGCTCTTTTTGCTGTGTTATTGAGGTTTCTACTTCCTTGGTCTTAACATGTACCCCATTATAATACTGTTTAAACTTTTGCAGTAACTAGAAATTTCTGGATGCCTTTGTTCCTCTGTGTGCTTTCTGTTCAGCTGAATTTTTTAATTTGATCTAAGACTTGTTTCCCAAAGGGATTTATGATCTTGAGAGGACAGAGTAACCCTTCATAGTTAAAATATGCTTAATAAAATAGGAATAACTTGTTTACTGTTAATATTTTGCTGAACATGCACAGTTGGCCTTGAAAAAGGTAGTCACTAGAGACACAAGATCTAGGGTGTATTATTGTTCTGATTGTAAAGTGATCATCAACATGAAAAGGCACTGTTTTCTTCCCTACACTGTAACTTCTCTTCAGCTTTACAATCTGAGTATCTGTATTATCACTAAACAGAAATGAACATAGAGGTCTAGAGTGGATCTTCAAAGCAGAACACTGCTGGTAACTATTTCCATTATACACAAATAGACTTGTCATCTAATAGGAGATGGGAACTGGAAAATAGGGAAATAAAGGGATAACTAACCCAAATATACCAGCTAACGACAGGGAAGGAGTTTAATATTTTTGCTTGACTTAATTTTTATGTTAATATTTCTCAGTAACCTGAAAATACTGAATATTTAGATTTGAGTTTTTAAATGTACAGTTCATTTAGAAAAGAATAGAGTCCTGATCTTCCAAAGTGATTGTTACTCTGTTTTTCTTCCATTTCAGAGATATTACATATGAAATATCAGTAGAAGCTATATCAACAATGGTTGTTTTCCTTTCCTGCCAGCTCTTCCACAAAGAAGTTTTGCGACAGAGCATCAGCCACAAGTATTTGATGCGAGGTCCATGGTATGTTTCTACTTTAAGTATGTCTAGTTTTCATTGTATAAATTTGTATTTCTAGTCTTGTCCTCTTACCTGAGTATCGTCCCGTATCTCCAACCAGGTGTTTCCTCTAGTTGTTCTGTTCTCTCTTTAAACCCAGTGTACAGGGAACCGCATTCTGCTTTCCTGTGCCATCTACCCATCCTCCCTGTTCTTCCTGTCCCCTAGCTTCATTACCTTCTCCAGTGGTTGCTTCGTAGAATTGAAACTTTGAAATAATCTTTTTCTTCCTTCTCCTTCATTCTTTCTGTGTTTAAACAGTCAAGTCATATTTGTTATTCAGATTATTTTTGTATCTTTTTCTTCTCAGCAGTCTCTGTGAAACAACTGTGATCTGTGCCCCCTCACTCTCTTTGGGTTTCTCCAACAGCCTCTTCACTGACTATTTCTACTTCATTGAGCCTGCAAATATTTACTGTGTGCTAACCACGTGCCAGGCATGTTAGGCTGTGGGGCTATGATCTTGAGCAGAAGCTTACGATCTCCTAGAGGGTGGGGATGCAAATGACCAACACACATGCACATACCTGACCTTGTATTAACATAATCTTCATAAAACTTTAAAAATGTAAAACAAATCCAAATAAAGTACCTTTGAGGAAAGTTCTCAGGTAGTGGGAGCTTTGTCTTCTTCATGTTCTTTTTGCCACCCTGATTATTCCTGTGGCATGTATGTTCTTTGAACATATTTGAAAATCACTGATAAGAGGTAGAGGACCTGGACTTTGGAGACAGAGGTTTGCATCGGAAGCCTCTCTGACAGAGACTCTCAGAATGACCGTGATTTGAAGTAGTGCTGGCATCGTGGGATTGTGTGCATCTTTGCTAAAACAAGACTGTGAACTTCATTCCTTATAGTACGAGAGTATTCAAGTTGCTTTTTAAAAATAGACATAGAGAGTGTTAGTGTTCTTATTTTCTAAGTAAGGTTTTTATAGTATCATTATGGTGCCAAATATTTAAACCATAATATATTCTTTACTTATTTTTGTGGTTCGTCTTGGAAACCATATTTAAAAAGCTCAATAGTACATTAAAGACATCTGTTAAAAAGCTTACTCTAGATTGCAGGAATTAGTTTAATACCAATTGAATAATTGAATAATTTCATCTTAAAAAATGTAGTCCTATTGTTATTTTTAAATTCTTGCTTTTTTCTACCGATTCCGTGTTACTACTTCCCTTCAACTGCCAGATAATGTGTTACGCACTAAATTTGTAATAGCTTACAGTGTTATACAGAATACAGAAAAAGTAACTGAAGTTCAAGAGTTCAAGTGGGCTGGGCATGGTGGCTCATGCCTGTAATCTCAGCACTTTGGGAGTCCAAGGCAGGAGGATCGCTTAAGTTTAGGAGTTTGAGAACAGCCTGGGCAACATAGTGAGACCTTGTCTCTCCCCGCAACAACAACAAAAAAGGATTTAAGTAATTTGATCAATATTTTATGATGTGGTAAGAAGAAAAGCCAGGATTAAGCCTCAGAATTGCTCTCAAAGCCCATGGTCTTCACTGTTACATTACAGTGCTCAATTTCTGTGAGTTGTACCAATAGCCCTTTTATATTAATAGTGTTAATGGCAGAATTATTTCTGTATTGTTACTCAGAATTAGATGACTCCCATAAATATGAGTTTGATTTTTTTTCCTTTTCGTGTAGTCTTCCATACACCAGCAAACTTGTGAAGACCTTATTATATAACTTTATCAGACAAGAAAAGCCACCTCCTCCAGGAACCCATGTTTTCCCTCAGCAGTCGGATGGGGGAGGACTGCTTTATGGACTTGCATCAGGAGTAGCAAGTAAGTTTTATCAGATTTTTTCAATTCTTTGGTGCACATAATTTTGTCTATTTAGGCATAAGAAATTCTGTTTGTTTGGCTGCTGCCATTAATAGTTACATTGAATTTGTGCAGCTGGTTAAATGTGAAAACAAAGTAATTAAAATAGTAAACTTTCTGTTTTGTGCAGTGATTTATGTTAAATGTATGCAAATAATGAATAGATTACCTCCAAAACATCGTTTTTCAGGAAGAATGCTTACACATAAATATACATATTGCATGAATTATAGCTGTACAATGAAAATAAAATTAAGCATTTGTAAACGTACAACACTACTTGTATTATAAGAGAAAATCTCTTTTAGGTTATTTTAGGGTATTTTTTGGTTAGGATTTTATGTGACTAATTAGGTGCAGTTTTCCTAGTACACTAAGTGCTTTATTCAGTGACAGCTGAATATTTTGCAGAATTTTGTAATAAGCTGTGAAATGGCACAAACTTGAGTTCTGTTTGTTTGCGTGCAAATTTCTTAAGTGAAGAAAGGTCTTCCCTACCTTGCAGTAAGTCCTCATTTCTGCTTCACTTCACAGTATTTGGACTACAGACACTAGAAGTAAGAGAGTAGTTCTGGTGGAGGGCCTGGGTCATGTGAAGTTATATAAATGAAACTTCCTAGAGGGACACTTTGGTACTTGTGAGGTCTGCCTGGGAGCTTCTTACTACTCCTAAACCTGCAGCATTGCCTCTCCTTAATCACGCAGGACAGAGTCAAATGGAACAGATTTCCACAGCTGCATTATGGCTGTGGCATGCTCTACACTCCAGCTGGATATCAGTTTGATATGAAAAGGTTGCACTGCAATAACTTACTAGATAACCAGTGTTGGGAGCTTCTTTGGATTCAGAGTCCTCTTTAAAAAGCAGTAGACTTGGTCTGTTAATTGACAGAATTAATCAGTGAACCAGACTTTCTTAGATTTGCCTTCCTTTGATTTCTTTTAATATTATGAATTAATTGAGTCACACTTGTGATCACTTCTGCCTTTGGCGCTGAGCAACCTGCCAAGAGTGCCACACCTACATAGGTTCTTTGAGTTACTCCTATCCAGTTTCCTCATTATTTCAGGGATTTTTGTGTCCCATGGGAAGGCTTAATTGATCTGTTACTGTTTTCTTTTTTTAAAAAATCATTCAACTGGTATAAGTATTTAAAAGCTGAATATTTCCCAATATTCCAATATGGTTAGAGGTTTTCTTGAGGTGGCAGAGATAGTATAAGCCTGTAAATGCTTTCTTCAACACAGTGGTAATACTTGGCATTTTTTAAAAAGTAAACATAGATTTGTGTATGGGTTTTGGTTTTTCTTTCAGTTATGTGTCATATCAGGAGGAACCCAGTATTGTATGTGGTGTCATTAGTGTGCCAGGTGCCAAAATTGTTTCCTAACTAGATAGCAGGAAGGAAGCCCCTTAATTTTCCTAGCCCTCAGTTTCCTTGTCTATTTAATGAGAAGGTGGGTTGGAATGGTGATTTCTGACATTATTACGACATAACTTTCTATGGTCTTTTTTTTCTCATCATTTTACAATTTAATATTCAGTTAAGTGCATTAAAATAGATTTATGGTTTTTAGTATGCTATATAGTCACAAGACATTTTACACAGCTTTCTTCCCAAATCTTTATAAAACTATTCATGTAAAAGTATAAATCAAGATGGAGTAATTATGGATTCATTATTTCATGATACATGTGACTCAAAGGATTATTAAAAAAACAACAAAAGGACATTCTCCTAAAAAACACAGCTATGTACTGTGGGCAAAATGAAATGTAAAAATGATCACAGTCATGTAATTTTAAGTTAATCTATGTTCCAGGAAAGTCAGTCAAGTTGCCAGCATTTGAATTAAGTTGTGTGATCACTTCTGATGATCTTTTGGTTGGTAGTTAAAGAATTATCTTACTTTACTATTGGCTTTAGAAAATATGATTTGGAAGTTTCTCACTGAAAAAAATTATATTCCAAAGCCAAGTGTAAATTATAAACTCATTTTGATTATATTCATTTTTGTTGGGATTGAAGTTTTCCTGGATATAGCAAGCATTTCTTTTCATAGCAGTGTGTGCATTGTATGTGTTGCTTACATTATTTCCTTTGAAACAGAGTGCCTTATTGTAAAAAAAGCATACAATTTCGGAGTGAAATTTGTTGGCACTGGCAGGGCAGGAGGAGAATCCTTGTACTGGAACTGCGGCTGGATGAGTAGTGAACCACTTGCTTGGACCCTCCTATGAGTCAGGCAGGGCCTTCTGCAGTTTCTTCTCATTTACTTTTACAGATGTGTTTTTGGTTATCCTTTTGTTTGTTTCTGAGACTCTGTGAAAGACTCTGTTACTTTGTTGCATCCTGATACTCTCCTTTTTCTTTCTTCTTTTTTTTTTTTTTTTTTTTTTTTAAATTATAGTTTAAGTTCTAGGGTACATGTGCACAATGTGCAGGTTTGTTACATACGTATACACATGCCATGTTGGTTTGCTGCACCTGTTAACTCATAATTTACATCAGGTATTTCTTCTAATGCTATCCCTCCCCCTACCCCCCACCCCACGACAGACCCGGGTGTGTGATGTTCGCCACCCTGTATCCAAGTGTTCTCGTTGTTCAATTCCCACCTATGTGTGAGAACATGCGGTGTTTGGTTTTCTGTCCTTGCTATGGTTTGCTCAGAATGATGGTTTCCAGCTTCATCCATGTCCCTACAAAGGACACGAACTCATCCTTTTTTATGGCTGCATAGTATTCCATGGTGTGTATGTGCCACATTTTCTTAATCCAGTCTATCACTGATGGACATTTGGGTTGGTTCCAAGTCTTTGCTATTGTGAATAGTGCTGCAATAAACATATGTGTGCATGTGTCTTTATAGTAGCATGATTTATAATCCTTTGGGTATATCCCCAGTAATGGGATGGCTGGGTCAAATGGTATTTCTAGTTCTAGATCCTTGAGGAATTGCCACACTGTCTTCCACAATGGTTGAACTGGTGTCCCTTCCCACCAACAGTGTAAAAGCGTTCCTGTTTCTCCATCCTCTCCAGCACCTGTTGTTTCCTAACTTTTTAATGATTGCCATTCTAAGTGGTGTGAGATGGTATCTCATTGTGGTTTTGATTTGCATTTCTCTGATGGTCAGTGATGATGAGCATTTTTTCATGTGTCTGTTGGCTGCATAAATGTCTTCTTTTGAGAAGTGTCTGTTCATATCCTTTGCCCACTTTTTGATGGGGTTGTTTGATTTTTTTCTTATAAATTTGTTTAAGTTCTTTGTAGATTCTGGATATTAACCCTTTTTCAGATGGGTAGATTGCAGAATTTTTCTCCCATTCTGTAGGTTGCCTGTTCACTCTGATGGTAGTTTCTTTTGCTATACAGATGTTCTCCTTTTTTATGCCTTTGCTAGGATAGAACAGTAGCTTGGAGTCCTCCTTACTTCTCTCTCTGGCTCTTTATTTTCTGCCTATTCATCCATTAAGGACTGTCTTGAGTTCCACCTTCTCCAGGAAGACTTCCTTGGCCCTCCTGGCTACATGAGATCTTTTCCTGTAACGCTTTACCACTGTATCACTCTGCTTTGTAGGAACTTACGTACATGCATCATTCTCCCTATGTTGGCTCCACATAGAAAAAAATGAGAACTAACATATAATATGAGTTTACAGTGCCACTTTTGAGCATCTCATTTATTCTCATAATAGGCTCATCTATCTGAAATAGATGGTTTTAATTTTTTAATGATGGGTGAAGAGATTTTCCTGGTTAATACGTTATTTTGTGTAAGATTACATAGGAAAGAGATGATGTTGGCTTGTTAACTTAAGCTCAGTTCATCAGACCCCTGAGCCTTTGCTGTTTTTGCCTTTTGTTATTGTGGTCACCCAAGTCCTGAGGGCATAAGCTCCTTGACTTGTATGGGTGTCCCCTGCAGTATCCAGCAGAGCGCCACCCAACATCTGTGGACTGTAGTGAATACTGGTGTGCAATTAAATGCCAAAAGCTAATGCTCAAGATAGATGTGAACTCAGTTGTAGTAACGATGTCTGTCATTTGCTGAATGCCTTCTATTTGCCAGGTACTGTGGTAGCTACTTTACATACCTGATTTCATTTATTCTTTATTTTTCTTTTCTAACATTTTATTACAGAAAATTTCAGGGATATATAGAGTAGATGCCAGGCACGGTGGCTCATGCCCGTAATCCCAGTGCTTTGGGAGGCTGAGGTGGGTGGATCGCTTGAGCTCAGGAGTTTGAGACCAGCCTGGGCAACATAGTGAGACACCACCTCTACAAAAAAATACAAAAATTAGCTGGACGTAGTGGTGCACGCCTGTAGACCCAGCTACTGAGGAGTCCGAAGTGGGAAGATCGCTTGAGCCTGGGAGGTCGAGGCTGCAGTGAGCTGTGATCACGCCACTGCGCTCCAGCCTGAGTGATAGAGACTCCGCCTCAAAAAAACAAAAAACACCCTAAAGATATATAGAGTAGAGAGAATGGTAGAATGAACTCCCATCTACCCACAACTCCTGTTCAAGAATGAACGACAATCTTTTTTCCCATTTATCTCCATCCTCCTACTTAAAAAAGTATTATTTTTTATTTTGAAATAAGTTCACGCATATAGAAAAGTCCCCCCCCCCAAAAATCACAAAAAACTATATGTAACTTTATCCAGATTGATTTACTGTTAATATTTTATCCCATTTGTTTTGTTGTTTTTTCTCCTCCTCTGTCTCATTCTGTACTTTCTTCTCTCTCTCCCCCCCGCTTCTCTCTCTCTCTCTCTCTCTCTGTCACACACACACACACACACACACTTTTTTTTAACCATTTGTGGATAAGTTACGTGCATTGTAATATCCCTTTACTCCTAAATACTTTAATGTGTATTTCCTGAAAGAGGATATCGCTTATGCTACCACAGTATACTTGTCAGCTTCAGTAAATTTAGCATCCAG